ACAGGCCTATTTAGTCACCCTCTCTCTCTTTCCACAGCAGCAAGAAAACATAGATACAGAAAGGCTAGAGCAAACAGCTTCCCATAAAACATAGATATAGAAGTGCCCAGATTATAAATTTCCACAACAGAATAATGCTGAGATGGCTAGTATCATGGCTTTCTGTGGCAGCCGGCTTTTTGAAGGTGGCGTGTCTGTGGCACACTTCACAAGCATTCTCAGCTTACTGTTAAAAGAGCCTCAGTTCTGTTCCTCTAAGAGGCCTTTTCCCAGGCGCCTGTTCAGACTTACCTTAGCTGGATGGCTGTGCCTCATTGTCTACCTGTCACTGGAGGTCTGTGTGGCTTGTATGTGTTTTAAAAGGTTTTGAAAGGGATTGACCCCATTCCAAAGTGCACACTCTAAGGGACACGACCCACTGAACATCTGTACATGTCTTGCTTTGTGGGTTAAGCGCAACTCAAATGGCGTCCCGTCTGTGGTGAACCTGCTTCCTGGTGTCTGTTGACTCTGTGGGCTCCCTGCGGTTCCCGGTGCAGAGTGGATGGAGCGTGGCTGGTTTCTGCACCGGGAGGGCGTAGCACGCATCCCCACATGCTGGCCGTAGGACCGTCGCTGTTGGCATTATGCCTTAACACAGAGATGTGTGCCTATCCTATCCCGCACTTCCTATGGTTAGGGAAGTGCACTGGTAATCGAAAGGCTGTTGGTTTGAATCCCTGACCCGTAAGGTACCACCCCCAAGCTCTGCTACCTGGGTGCTGAATTAGCTGCAACCCTGCTATGTCACATATGGGTTAAATGCAGAGGACACATTTTGCTTTGGTGTGTCAGTGATGACAACTAATCACTTTCACTTTTTATCCCAAAGACATAATTGAGAAAGTGATGTAAGCCAATCGTTGGAGCAAACAGGGGGTAAGGGCCTTGATCAAGATTCGAACAGTGAAATTACTGTTAACCACAGGATTCAAACCAGCAACCATCTGCTCACAGGCACAACATCCAAAAACACTAAACCATACACACTCTCATGGGCATGATGAGTGAGTGGAGTTTGATTCTCTTTTTTTTACTTTCCCATCATTTCAAAATGCAAAATTCAGTCACTTAAATCTTCTAAGCATTTCTGATACAATGGTTCACCATAATGTCCTCTACATTTACAGTAAATTCTTTTTCAAGCCATAAACTTCTTCCATTAACATGCATCATTTGTAGCTCGTGACTGCACAAAGTCTGTCAGTGTGGGAGCTGTTGGTAGGTGGGATGGGTCATATTACCTGAGTCTTGATGAGGTAATGGGTTATCAGGATGAGGTAATGGTTATCAGGATAAGGTAATGGGTTATCAGGATGAGGTAATGGGTTATCAGGATGAGGTAATGGGTTATCAGGATGAGGTAATGGGTTATCAGGATGAGGTAATGGGTTATCAGGATGAGGTAATGGTTATCATCTGATGGTTAAAGGTGATTTAAACTAGGTAGTGAAGGATAAACACAAGACAGATTGGGAAATTATGTTTATTGGTAAATGATCTATAACAATTACCGATTTGTTGATTCACTAATTTAATCGATGGTAAAAGATATATTGCCAGTGGTGCAGTGCTTAGCGTTGTTGTGTCACACCTCTGGCACTGGATTCGAGTCTCTGCCGTGGCTGCGTGTGTGGAGTCTGCATGTTCTGCCTGTGTCATTGTGAGGTTTCCTCCAGGTACTCTTGTCCCCCCCCCCCAGTCCAACAACATGCTGAGGTTAATTGGAGTTGCCCAATTGTCCAGAGGTGTGAATGTACCTTGGCGATGGGCTGGTTGTTCCTTGTCTTGCCCCATGACCCTGAATAGGACAAGCAGTTACAGGAAATGGATGGAAACAGGTATATTGATTAAAGGTGAAAACTGCAAACCATACTAATGCTTTCACCAGGAATAAAAGGTGCTGTGCTGCATGTCAACTGAGATAAGTGGAAAATAAAACACCACGCTTCATAATCAGACACAGCACCACTATCCCTGAAATACATCAGGCATCCAGCTGCATAAAACGGAATAAAAAAACCTGAGGCAACAGGAGATGATCTGAATTAAAGATCATGCTTGTCCTCTATGGCTGCTAAGATGGAGACTATGGAGAGAGATGGCGCTCTTTTGATCGCGCGGTTGCTTGGTTTCCATACTTCGTTAGAGACGTCGGGATCATTTTCTCACCTCCTCACACGCACTTCCCTTTCATTTATTTGCGATATAAAAAAGTCGCATTAAAAAGAAAGAAGATCTGCAAGTAATGGCTGTCGACACGTTTTGCCTCTGTTCTATGTTGCATTAGTCTTTTGGTGCCTGTCGCTGGTTTTAAAAGCCGTTGATGTGGCGCTGTGATCACCATGAGATTATTATCCGTACTCTCAGCTTTCATCTAAATGAGGTGGTTATGGACTGACACTGTCAGGGGAGTTGAGTAGAAATAAGTGACATCAGAACCACGATTATTCACATATATATTCACTTGAGTCTTTAGCCGTGCACGGTGCCCCCTGCCACCACAGAATCACCCCGAAAGGTACCATCGTGATCAAAAGAACTGAACCCATATCAAAAGGCTCCGCATCAAAGGCCAGAGATGGCAGACAAAAAGGGACAGACACAGACAAATCATTAAGCAATGTAAGTCGTTTGAGATTAAGTGTACATATTAGGCGAACATAACGTTGAGAAACCTGACGAGGTGGGAGATTAGATGTTTTTTCATTAAAAAAGGCCACCACACTCGCTGAATGACTCCTGCACATGCCTACTAGAGTGCCTGAGCTGTGTAATCGGAAGAAAGAAATATATATATATATATATATCAGCCTACAGAGAAAGATTTACGTCTGCAGCCGTGCTGGCGACAGTCCCGAACCAAAGTAAAAGAGGTTATAGAGCGGCGCGTCCTCGCGATCCGCCGAGCGCAATTACGGCGTCGCGCATCTGCTGGACTCGCCTCGGCGGCACGGGGGGGCTCCTCCGCCAGCCCGTGAAAATGCGACTCACACAAGCTCGCTTTATTTATTGTAGCTGAGGTACTGAATAACCTTCGGCCGGTAAAAGTTAAAAGCACCTGGGATTTGACTGGAGAGAGTCCTCGGTGACCTGTTAACAAACACGTCACGGAGTTTGATTTCTTACGTTTGTTTCAGAACAAAAAGTTATTAACAGGAATAAACTTTTCCAGATTAATAAGTTGGGTAAATGCATTCACTTTGGCTCATGTTTATTAATACGTTATCAAACCACATAATTCGATTGTATTAATCAGGACCCCCTAATACGTACGATGCTGTGTGTAATATTTAATTTCATCACTATCCCATTTTAAAATCTCAGGTTCCAACTCAGTTACTTAAATTTCTCTGCGGTTAAAGCCGCGTTAAGCACAGCCCGTTAAAACAGGCATCTCATCTGCATGTCTCCGCATTCCCTGAAAAACCAACTCGCAGAAAAATACTCATTACATGAGCATTTCCCAGACAAACCGAGAATTGCTGCCTCCTAATAGCCATATCTAGGGTCTACATTACGTTCCTCGCATCCGATAATTGATCGCCGTTCTGCAGATTGAGACACGGCGGAGCGAGTAATGAAGTGCGGCGCCCGTGTGCTGCGGCGTGAGAAGGAAAGACGAATTACAGACGGCAAAACGAAATAAGGCTGCTTTATCTAGTCCGCTCAAAAACGGATTTTTATGCCCGTCGTTGTAGCAATAGCGTTACGACTTTTATCTTGAGTAGTTTTTCAAAGGCACATATTTAAATGAAAGCTATCGGAGTGATTAATCTTAGGAATTGCAAACTGGAGATGCTTCCTCACACGGGCTACTGGCTACACGGGCTACTGGCTACACGGGACTGGGCTGGCCCGTTCTGGCGTCGTCGCACAGGTCGAAGGCTTCGGTGTTGGCGTCGCAAGTCGACGGTCGGCCGTCCCGGCACAGCAGGGTACAAAAATGCCTCCTGAAGGTGTCGGAGAAGCAGGCGTACAGGACGGGGTTGGTGCAGCTCCACGCGTAGGACAGCAGCACGGCGGCACGGAAGATGCCGTCGAAGGCCTGTCCGGTGTCACTGTGGTGCAGGACGTAGAAGTTGACAGCGTAGAAGGGAAGCCAGCAGATGGCGAACACTACTGCCACCGATGCCACCATGCGGGTGGCCTGGCTCTCGGGCGGTTGCCCACCGGGGCCCGGGGCCCCACGGGCCTTCAGGGCCAGCGCCAGCACCGCGTACGACACCGCCATGATGCTGAAGGGCAGCGCGAAGCCCAGGACGAAGGCGCAGGTGATGAAGACCATCCACCAGGAGCCGACGGCCTCGTGGGGGTCCGGGCCACACTGTCCGCCCTCGGCCGAGAAACGGAGAGCCATGGGGAGAACCGGCAGCAGGGACAGGGGCCACAGCAGCAGGCTGATCACCTTGGCCCGACTGGGACGGCGCCACGGGCCGAAGCGGACCGGGTCAGCGGCGGCCAGGCAGCGGTCGACGCTCATGACGGTCAGGCAGAAGACACTGGTGAACTGGTTGATGCCATCGAGGAGGACCAGCAAGCGGCACGCCAGGTCCCCAAAGGGCCAGCGGTCCTGGAGGTACTGGAAGGAGACGAAGGGCAGGCCCACCATGAAGAGCCCGTCCGCCAGAGCCAGGTTGAAGATGTAGACCGTAGTGGCCGTGCTCATGCGGTCCAGCTTCAAGATGGCCGCCATCACAAGCCCGTTCCCGGCCAGACCCAGGACGCACACCGCCAGGTAGAGGACAGCCATGAGCACGCTGAGCGGCCCCCCCACGAGGCCCTCCTCCCCCCAGGGGAACCAGCTGGTGCTCTCCAGGATCAGTGACACGTTATAAGCCCCCCGCGGTGTCGGCTCCATCCCCGTGGTGATTCCGGAATTCTGATAATTCTCCATGAGGGAAGCTGCCTCTGGCCTCCTACAGGGAACGCTGCACCGGACGGCCGAGGCACCTGGAATTAAAGCGTCCGCCTAATATGCCGAGGGAAATGTTACACTACAGACCGAAGTGACGCTGAATGCACGGCCCTCAGCAAATAATCATAAACATGTGTTCACACAGGAAAGCTCATAGTTACTTTTTTGCATTCACTTAAAAAATTGACCCTACGGATGTGGAAAAATGTGATCTGCCGAAATCCGGGTGAATTGTGTAGGCGTGTGCGAAAGACACAGTCCATCCCAGGAAAGAGGGGTGGGGCTCTCTCTCTCTCCCTGAGCACTTCTTGGGTGCCCAGCTCGGCCCGCCTTTTCCCCTCCACCCCCCCATGGCTCCCACCGTCGCTGTGATAACCCACACCGACTCCTGAGGTCCGACCTCACTTTGGTTTCCAAGGTGCAGTTGGTCACATCTGTTACAATACTTTTGTCTTCATAACTAAACATTCCCCCCCGGGGCTGGCTGGCCCGCCTCCTCGCCGCCCAGTTCAGTGGGGGGTCGTTCTCAGTGACCACCCACAACCCAGGCTGAAATATCAAAGGAAAGCAAAACAGCCTCGATTTGCCCGGGGGGGTGTTCTCAGTTTTCCTCACCACCTTGGGTCTGCTTGGGCCCCCATTTTTCAGGCCTCTCCTGGTGTGGGGGGAGTTATGGCCAGTTCCCGGGCTTCCTCCCCCCCCCCAACACGGGCTTATGGGCTCCCTGGGAAGAGCTGGTCCCCCCCAGAATGACGTCAAAGGTGGATGAGAGCAGGACTGCAGCTTTAATGGCTAAAGGACTAACCTGTCAACTCCGTTACGTCTGTAGGTGGCGCACGGCCAAACCTGAGCTCCAGTACACATGTTCCTTCTTCCCTGTGCATGCTGGGAGTTTTTACAGGCCCCGGGGAGCTGGAAATGCCTCTGTAAGCCGAATACGTGATTAGGTTACCGTTTAGTGTTCCCTGTGGGCTGGAAGTGGTCAGCGAATCAGGTATCAATGGGCCACCAATAAAACAACACCAGCTGAAATAGGGCCGTTTTGCCAGATGAAGTCTCCCAAGAGCCCTGGCTTGGGGGGAGGGGGGGGGTGAGTCTGTGAGGTGGGGGAGTCTGAGAGCAGCCTCATCTGAGAGCGTCGGGAGAGACGGCTACTTCAAAAGAGAGATGTTTTTATGTGAAAAGGCAGCCACAGCGTGTCACTGAACAGCCCCTTTCGTCTGGGGGAGGGGGGGGCAGTGACTCCTTGCTTGTTATTGATGTATGAGGGCTGTTGACAGTTAGTCCGGGTAATTATGACAGTGACCAAACTGACGGCATGAGTCTCACTTTCATTTTAGCCTCTATATAATTACTGATGTGTTGTTTCTCCTTAATAAAAAAATGGCAAACCTAATTAAACTTTTTCAGAGTTGCCAGTGTTTTAGTTTTTCCTCTCAATCACCAGCTGTTCTGTCCATTGGCGGGGGGGCCTTTTGTTAAACTAACATTCGAGATTAAAATCATTTGAATAATTGTCGATTCCTGGGTCTCGGTTGGCTTAAGTGAGTCACCTATGGAAGAACATGCAGACAGAGGCACAAAAATCCATTGTTTTGTTTTGTTCAGAATTTTTTTTTATTATATATTTTTTTTACAATTAAAGGCAATTTGTTTCGTATTAAAGGCCTCCGAAATGATCCGGTGCAAACTCTATGTCCTGTCTCGAATATAAACAAAGCTAAAAATTTGCTCCCATAATTAAAATACCTGTCAGTCCAGACGTCTTGGTGACCTTCAGGCTGAGGCAGCCATAATGAATTATCATTTTTGTTCCTGGGTATGGGAAAGGAAGAAGAAAATGCATTTTGGGCTCTTTAAATCAGGCGCATGGAAGACACATGAGGCGATGAAAAGGAGGTGGGAATAGGCGGCACCTTCTGACTCAACCTCCGGTTCAATGTTGCATTAAATCATTGCGATGGTGGACTTTCCTGTTTTGTTGCGTCATGGAAGCATGGCCAGTAGGAGTCATCGTAGTTAAAGAACATGGTACTTTGTCACATCTGCGAAAATGACCAGGCTACCAGTTAAAAGTAAATCATGTATGTAAACAGTCATGCTAGGATTTTATGGGTGATTCCTGTTTTTTTACCACATATTTGACTGTCTGTTTTCTGAAAATTGGAATGATTGTATTTTATGGTTTAAACATTTTGTGAGGACTATACCATACTTAGCCATGAGGAATGCATGTTTGCCAAGCTCAGGGGTTGAAAATATTATAATTATAGCATTTCTCCAGACGTTTTCCACCCTGTTAGGGACATGTACATGGTAATCACAGAGTTTAAATAATGTACAAGTCAAACAATACTGAACTTTTCTGGGATACAATGTGTCCCTTTTGCTATGATAAAAGTTTTATTCTTGTAGCATTAACAGTTTTAATTTTATGAAGAGTACAATGTCAGAATAATGGAATCTGTGCATTTTTTGTCCCCATTTCGTTGTCTTGAATGAGGAATTTTATTAACTAGAAATAAAAGTATATGTAGATGCATTATATGTACCTCATATAATAATATAATAATAATAATAATACCACTGTAGTAACATAAATAATTAAGAAATACACTCATATAATAATAATAATACTTTTTGATTATACCATTAATATTCATTATCATACACAAGAAATACACTCAAATAATAAATCTACAAGTAATTTTAATGAAAATAATAAATATTCGTGTACAATTTCTACTCGGTAGGCTGCATATCCCATACATAGCCTAACAGGGTGGAACCTAACAGGGTGGAATATTTCTAGCTAATTTAGCTCTAGCTCTTTGAGTGAGCAACATTTAGCTAGCACACACTCTACAGCTGATCAGCATTTAAATAGCTATTTTTAACATGTTTTAAAAAATATTTTTCCCAATAAATATTTCCCATAATATGTACTAACAGGGTGGAACTTTAAGGGTGCCTCAAACCGGTGTGTAATATAAAATTGAGAAAAATACAGGAGAGAGTGACAGTTAAAGCTTACGTTAGTCTTCCAGTTGAATTTCCCCCCAAAAACAAATGATGTCACTTCCTGCAAATGGCTGCATGGATTTGTAATCTTTTTAGGGAGCCAAGAAACTAGAGGCTCACAGGGTGGAAAACGAATGTAGGGACATATAATATATTATATAATTACAGAAAACAAAATAAGTTTCACCAGATTTGTTTCTTTCTCTAAAGGTAGTCAACCCTAGTCTATCAAAATAATAAAGAATAAGTTTTGGTTTTTATAATTTTATAGTTTATATTAAACACACAATAAAATAGGTTTGTTATAAAGATTTGTCTAATTTTATAAAAGAATAAGAGCCAGTTAAACACGAGGACATGAATATGTGGCCCAAAACAGGAATCACCCTTATACAAGATTTCCTTAATGACATACAGCAGTGGAATTTGGGAAATTTACTACAAGCCAACCTGGCTAGTTCAGTAAAAAAATTCCACACCTCAGGCGAGTGGGAGAGCTTAATGTCTAGCCCTGCGAACACAGGAAGAGAGATTTCTCAGGTTTACCAGGAGCACCTTTAAGAAGACCAGCCATAGATCAGCATCCATGGGTTCTCAGGCTGTTCTGGGTGAGATCAGTGATCATCTTCATTGTTGGAATAACACTGTGGAAAAATGGGTTACATGACAGACAGGCAAAGTGGAAAGCACTACTCACTGAAGAACACAAAGGCTGGTCTCAAGTCTGCCAGAAACCAAAAGGAATCCTTAAGAGTCCTGGAACATGGACACGTTCTAAAGTAGAACTTTTTGGACAAGATTGCCTTTGCGTCAATCGGTGAAAGTCGAACAGCACAGTCCATAGGAGCCAGAGTCATTGTGCTTTAGGAATTTGTTTCTCGTTGAAAGAACAACAAATCATGCTCTACAAGAGAAGGTTCTAGAGGACCCTTAATCCGAAACTGATGTGGGGGCCATGCAGTAATGACCCCAAACCAGGCCCGGCATCTAGGGGGGGCATGGATGGGCTTGGCCTGCCCCGAGATGACCTCGACCCCCCCACTGCACCTGGCCTGTCAGATAGGAAAATAAATAAATATATTGTAAAATAAATTAAAAGCTGGACTGAGATGAATTCCTTCCATGCTGATATTAAAAGTAGTTTAATACTGTATTGTAAATGAAACAGGCATACATGACTGTTAACTTGGAGCTGAGCAGAGACTTGCTTTTCTCACTAATTAGCATACAGTTGTGGGCGACAGAGTGAATCTGGATAAATGTGGCGAAATGGACCTTTGAAAATATTTTAAGCAACGGAGATTCCACAGCTAAGCCATCCGCATCACCAGTCACCAAGTCTACCAGACGTCAACTCTTTGGACAGGTCAGTCGAGTTTGGTTTCTCAGCTTGCTTAAGATTAGCACATTTGCCTTAAACTTAAAATTTTGTTTTTTTTAGCAGCTGCTGAGTTGTATTATATGCACATGGTCTTCTTACTTGTGCAAACTAAGGTTACGATGTTCATGTTTCATGTTGGTTGTGCTGCCCCTGGTTCTGACGTGTCAGTTTGTCATTTGCTTCACCAATGAGTTTCTGTCAGCTGTGGTTTAAACATTGTTATAGCAGCATTACTGGTATCACTCTGACGCTCTTCTTACCACCCCCCCATGTATGATGCATAGCTTTGGTTGTGGCACCTGGGCTGACCCAAACACACCAAAAAGTCATAATTTGATTAGTTGAAGAACAGTACTTTCAGACCTCCAACCTACTCAGATGTTGTGGTAAGACCTGAGATGAACAGCTCAAACTCACTCATCCACAAATGGCCCAGAATTAAGGCAATTCAGTGTGAGTGCTCAAACTTGAATCATCCAAGGTTAGAAGCAGAAGAATATGCCAAGAATGTGAAGCACGGAGAAAGTTAGGCCAAATATGTCTCACAGCACCGCACTTGTATCTATAATTTAAATGAAAGATTTATAAATAATGTATCATCATCTCGCCTTCAAGTGAAAATTGAAAAATTCATAGCCCGGACCCTCCTACTGTTTCAGAGACATGTGTAGGTCATCCTTAGCCTCAGGTGAAACACCACACTGACCTGCCCACATCTGTCCTGCTAAATCAAGCTGGAATTCTCATTTTTCAGTAAAAGCGTGATTATTAACTTTGATCCTAGAGGGCTTTAAAAACCCAATACAAGGC